ACTGTTTTCGCAACTTGGTTGGAGCGTCAATGAGACCATGTGGAACGTACCTAGTCTTGTGTATTCTGCTATTGTATTCGTGATTTCCAGCATCGGATCATTGAATTTTTCCACTCTACCAATACTTACTCGACATAAACGTTCACATCCTTGAGCCGATTTTCACTGTTTTCTCGGGCATACATACATATAAAGATAAAAAGTGCATCACCATCACTTATCTTTGTTTATTCTCCCGAACTTCCCAAATTTCCATTATTGTTTACTTATATTCACGCAATCTCATGTCTAGCCGATTGCGCGCGCTTTCAAGGTTTTGTGAAGCTCACTAAAAATGGTATATGCGTTCGATGTGGGTTGAGGGGTTAGCATACGCTTAAATGGCTCAAAACTTGCACGAGTGGATTATCCCAAACTGCTATTACTGAATATCTCATCAATTCAGGGAATACGTTAATCAGCCATGGCAAACAAAGCCATGCCTACTTGCATCCCAAAGTGATGGTGAATGCGATTAGACTTGACATTTTTAATCGCAAATATCAAGACCAAGGTTGCGTGGTCTCTATTTCGTGGCAGTCAACTTTCGCTTTATTGACGTCGTTTGACCTCGTTTTCCCCATTCGGTTGTGTTGTCATGACTGCCTAGTTGAACGCGCCTCGTCCGAAGTCCTTTGCCACATTAATCCCGATAATTTTCATTTTCCTACCGTGGACTTGGTACATTACCAGAGGTTTCGCCTGTGTTGTAGTCGGCTTGTATAGCGTGTTTCTTATTTGTCGTACTAAGCTACACCGTGCCAGAGACAAGTAAAGTCCATCCCTTTGCCAACAATTCAGAACGGTTGTGTTAGCACTCCTGCCCGGGTACATCTGCATAGCCTATATTCTTGTATTTCACTCCCTCTTTATCACAGCCACTATCTTGCTTATATTCGACTTTTTTAGCGAGTTTTGTGGGATGTTATCACACCTGTTTATTTACTTTGCTCTCCCATCCTCATTTGCATCAAGGCAGCCTTGACTACTGTATATTTTTTAAATTACTAAATATACACCATATTTCCATGAAACTAGATTCCATTTGCCTTTGTTGTTCAACTAACATTTAGGCCTGTCTTTTCATATACTTTAGTGCAATTTTTGAAGTTCTTCACTTATCGCTCACCAGTTTGCTCCACACTGCCTCAAAAAATCCAGTTTTCATAACCTGAGGGATGCCATTTTATTTGCCCCTCTCCTGACTGTATCAAGTGATTACTAATATTTTTGTTTTAAATCGTATAAACGTATCCTACTATCATCCTTAATGATGTAATACCCTGGATAAATTACAAGAATATGTTAATAGCCATTAATACCATGTTTTTTGTTAGCACTTTTGTTGCAAAAAGAGTGCACCTTGCAAAAAAATTTACATCATTTTAATTCTCTCAACTACAGCGATGTATATCTGCAATGAAGCTTCATTAATCGTTTCCAGCTGCGGACTTATGACTTTTAGTTTGTAGAGTTAATGATTCTGAATGTTCCTGTTGAACGTCCCCATTTGTGGGTACTAATTTGTCACTGCTGTATTTCACCTCAGAAGTTTAGAAAAGTCTATGCAAAATGCACCATTGGGGCGTATGAACCAAGCCGAAGAGACTGATTCTGTGGTTATTTGAACCACATCCACAAAAGGTTCT